CAGTACATTTGTTAACATTATTAACGTTAATACATTAAACCAGGAAAAAAAAAAAAAAGGGCCAGGGATTTAGCTCAGTGGTTCTGCCACCTGCCTCGCAAGTGCAAGGTCCTGAGTTTGATCACCGGTTCCAAAAAAAAAAACCAGAAAAAAGAAATCCTTTGCTTTTAAAGAATTGTAGATAATGGTGAAAAGAAAGGACTTCATTTGCCCACAGTGTGTTGGGAATTATATATTATAGCTTTAATGAAAAAAACCAGATCCATAGAATGGGATGATTTCTGATGCTCTCTTCTTCATAGAAGTATTACACAGATCAAATTGAAGCTTCAAGATTTTTTTTTTTTTTGAGACAGAGTCTTGCTATGTAGTCCAGGCTGGCCTTGAACTCACTGTCTAGTCCAAGCTGGCCTTGAACTCACAGAGATCCTCCTGCCACAGCCTCCTGAGTACTGGGATTACAGGAGTGGACCACCATGTTTGGTTCTTTATTTTTCTAAATTTTTTTTCCAGTACCAGGAATCAAACTCAGGATGTTGCACTTGTGAGGCAGGCACAGTGCCACTGAGCTAAATCCCCAGCCCCTGGCTCTTTATTTTTGAGACAAAGTCTTGCTGTGTTGCCCAGGTTGCCTTGAACTCATGATTCTCCTGTCTCAGCCTCCTGAGTCACTGGGATTTGTAGTAAAATAATAATATAAGCCTTGTTCTTTTGGCTATATTCAATATCTAACCATTAATATATGTACAGTATTGTATACTTCAGGAAAGAACTGAGGGCCTGTTGTGGCACCACATGCCTATAATCCTAGCACTCCTGCCTAAGGGAGGAGAATCACTGCAAGTTCAAGGGCAGGCTGGGCTATGTAGTGAATTCAAGGCCAGTCTGAACTACAAAGTGAGACCCTGTCTCAAAAAACAAACAAAGAAAAACTGAGTAATGATGTTAAAGCATTTTCCAAATCCAAAGATTCAGTGTACCTTTATGTGAAGACTTTCAATGTAATATATTTACCTTATTGTCTTCATTATTTACTTAGAATAAATTTCAATGGAATGAGGTTTTATCTAGGAGAGTTCCTTATGAGAAAATTATTACCTTGAGGGTTATGTAGCGGGTTAGGTTGGATTCTAGATAAGATAATTAGTGTTGACTTTCTGTTTTTTCTTTTTCTTTCTCTTTCTATCTTTTTTGGATGATAAGTCTTGCTTAAATGAAAAGACAAAGACCTTTTGTTCTTTTGTTTTTGTGGTACTGGAGATTGAACCCGAGATCTTTGCACTGAGCTACTCCAGAAGTTTTTTATTTTTATTTTGAGACGGTCTCGCAAAATTTTTAAATTTCCCATGCTGGATTTAAACTTGTGATCCTCTTCCCTCAGCCTCTCAGAGTGCTGGGATGGTATTATAGACATTCAGAGAGAAGGATCTTGTTTTGTTGTTTTTTGGGGTTTTTTTGGTACCGGGGATCAAACTCGGATCCTTGTGCTAATCCCCGGCCCAGGATCTTGTTTTTTTAATCATTAATTTATCATTAATTTTTTAAAATTTCCTCTTTTTTTTTTTGTTTTTTTGGGGGTTTTTTTGTACTGGGGATTGAATTCTGGACCTTGTGCTTTCGAGGCAGGCCACTGAGCTAAATCCCCAGCCCTATTTTTTATTTTTTGAGACAGAGTCTTCACTGATTTGAACTCACTATGTAGCCCAGGGTGGGTTTGCATTCTTGGCAGTCCTTCTGCCTCAGCCTCCCAAATGCTAGGATTACAGGCTTGTGCCACTGTGCTCAGCCAATCATTGGTATTTCTATGAATGCAGGAAGATTGTTTTTGGCTCATTAGGTTGATTATAATTCTCTTATTTCAAATTAAAGAGTATTGATTAAAGGAAAAATAAACAAAAATATAAACCAAAAAATTTATTTTTTTGTCTCCATCTTTCAGATACATGGTACATTTACTACAGTTGGCTGTGACTTTTATTGAGAAATTGGAAACCCATCTTGAAACAATTAGAAATATCCCTCATTTAGATGAAAATATAAAGAAAATGGTGAGTAGTAATATAGCTATTTCAATTCTCTTATACTAGAATCTCAGAATGTGTGATTGTCTTAGTTACTTTTCTTGTTGCTGAGACAAAATACTCAACACTCACAAGTTAAAGGTTTATTAAGGAAAAATTTATTAAGGAAAGGTTTATTTCAGCTCACAGTTTGAGAGGTTTCAGTTCATAGTCAGCTGGCTCCAAGGCAGAGTCAAAGGGACATCACAGAGGAGAAATAGTCTATAGCAAGCAGGCAGGAGACAATAAAGCAGCAAGCAACAGCAGCAGCAGCCTACCTCTCCCTTTTATACCTTCCAGGCTACCCACCTTTTGGATGCTGCCACCACACCCAGGGTGGGCCTTCTCATTATCCACACCCAGAGCTGTCCTAAACCAATTAGTGAGCTAATTTAGTAGTTGCACACCCTTGCTCCCAGCATCACACACCATAAATCCAGCCAGCTTCATAAAGCCCCACCTATGACCTCCTGAGGGTTTGGAGGGACATTTAGATACAAGCCATAATAGTGATCCACTCATTTAACTTTTTTTTTTTTTTTTTGGTACCAGGGATCGAACTCAGGTCCTTGTGCTTGTGCAGCAGGCGACCAAACCACTGAGCTAAATACTTGGCTGAGGAACTTTTTAATAACTAAAATTATGAGCTAATTATTTTAAAAATCAGAAATGTTTTGTTAGCCAGGCACCATGGCACATGCCTAAATCCCAGCTATTCGGGAAGGTAAGAGGATTGCAGATTTGAGGACAGCCTGGGTAACCTGCCTTACCCTTCTGAGTGCTGAGTGTGTAGGCATGTATCCCCATGCCTGACCAAGAAATCATTTCAATAAATTTTTTTTTTTTGGTACCGGGGATTGAACTTGTGTCCTTGTGCTTGCACAGCAGGGAGCAAAACCACTGAGCTAAATCCCCGACCCTCAATAAATTTTTTTACTCCAAAATTTAGTAAAAATATGTTATCTTTGTTGTGCAAGGCTGTGCTCCATGTATTATAAAAGATAGATACCCCTGAATATCCTGCCCTCAGATTCTCAGTTTGGTGAGACAGCATTAAGATGGATCCTTTCTACTTTATAGGACTGTTTGCATAATAAGTGCAGCATATAATTATAAAGAAATGTGGCTGAGTGCCATAGTACACTCCTGTAATCCCAGCTACTTGGGAGGCTGAGGCAGGAGGATCACAAGTTCAAGTCCAGCCTGGACAAATTAGCAAGACTCTGTCTCGTAATAAAAATTTTAAAAGGTAGAGCACACCTGGGTTGAATCTTCAGTACTGGGAAAATTTTAAAATATCCATAAGGAGGGCTGAGGATTTAGCTCGGTGGCATTGCACCTGCCTTGCACATGCAAGGTCCTAAGTTTTTGTGTGTGTGTGTGTGTGTGTGTTTTCCTTAAATTCTTTTATCGGTACATTTTAGGTATATAATACATTTACATTTATCATTGGGAACTTGTACCTTTACATGATGTATCTTGGTTCTTATTTTTTCCCCATTCCCTGCCCTCCCTTCCCTATTTACAAAGACTTTGTTTCCATTTTTTCCATTTCTCATAATTTTTCCTTTCCCTTCTTTCCTTTCCCCTGCCCCTCCCACTACCCCTACCCCTTTGGACCTTTTCTTCCTATTTTGCATTATCAATTATTCATTCTAATCATTGGTACATTTTAGTTATACAATATAATGACATTCATCATTGGAAATTTGCACCTTTACATAGTCTCTTGGTTCTTATTTTTCCCCCTTCCCCTCCCCTCCCTTCAACCCCTCCATCCCTCCCTATTTACAAAGACTTTGTTTCGATTTTTTCATTTTCTCATTTTAATTCCATTCCCTTCTTTCCTTTCCCCTACCCCTCCCACTTCCCCTTCCCCTTCCTCTTTTCTTCCTATTTCACAATATCTATTATAAGGTCCTAAGTTTGATCCCTGGTACTGCAAAAAAAAAAAAAAAAAAAAAAAAAATCTATTAGGAAAATCTATCCATTAAGAACAAAGAAGAGAGGGATTACTTTCAGTGTAGGGGGATTAGGAATAGAATAGAGTATAGGAAGAGTTCAAAAGGTATTATATAGGAATTAATGGAAAGCTAAATCTTGAAGAATTATGAAATTTGGCCTTGCATCAGAAGGACTATTTAGGGCCAAAGCAACAATGTGAGGAAGACATCAAAGTCAGAGTTAGGGGAGAAAATGGTATTTTGCTTTTGCTGTTGCCTAAAGGAATCAGGGCTAGTTTATGACATGTCTTAACAATCAGACCAAAAATTTTAGACTTTATTACAGTACTGAAAAGCCATTGAGTGTTTTATTCATTCATTCATTCATTTATTGATGGTATTGGAGATTCAACCTAGGAACTTCATACTGAGCTACATCCCTAGCCCTTTCTATTTTAAGACAGTGTCTTATTAAATCACTAAGTTACCCAGGCTGGGCTTGAATTTATGATCCTCCTGCCTAGCCTATCACAGTGCTGGGATTATAGATGTGCATCTTGCCCACCCATGTTTGAATGAATGATTGATTGTTTCATTGATTGATTTTTTTTTTTTTTTTTTTTAGTGAAGAGCACACAGTAGTAACTTGGTCAGAATTGTGCTGTAAATGTGTTGAAAATACCAAATAGGGTAGACTGAGCCTTGCTCTGTGTATGGGCAGAGAACATCTCATCTGGAAGTTTGTGAAAAATGCAGAATTACAGGGCTAGCTGGGCATGATGGCACACGCTTGTAATCCCAGCACTCAGTAGACTGAGTCAGGAGAATCACTGCAAGTTTAAGGGCAGCCTGAGCTACATAGAAAGTTCAAGACCAGGCTCAACTATATAATGAGACCGAATCTCAAAAAAACTAAAAAATAAAAAGAGAGAGAGAGAAAAAAAGAAAGGAAAGTAGACTAGCAGACTTTATTCTCTCCAATCTTCAAAATCAGAATATATAAAGAAATTCTTCAAGTGATTCCTGTATTAGCACATTTTAAAGTGTGATCTGCTCTGAATTAGAGAAATAGAGAAACCTGGAAACTAAATATTATCATCTATATTAAAAATTCACATAAAAGATACAGAAGCACAGGAAAACAAAGGATTATATGTATTTTTTTTTAATTTTTGAGGTCAGATTTCTAGATGTTGGATATTATTTGGGCAAGGGACCTACTCAAGCAATGTAGTTTTTAGCCTTGGTGATTTGAGGGTAGCAAGTAGGATTAAGTGTGCATTAACATGTTCCCGCCAGCTTGAACCATGTGTGATGGGACAGTCACACCAGTACCACTAATGGTTCAGAGCTGCGGGCCAGCGAGACAGCTAATTACAGCCCCATCGAGAATGTGTTTAAGAAATTATTGAGTTGGGGTTTTTTTGTTGTTGTTGTTGAGACAAAGTCTCACTATATAGTTCAGCCTGGCCTTGAACTCGAGGCGATCTGCCTTCTTTAGCGTCTGAGCGCTGGAATTACAGGCATACACCGCTGCACTGGGCTTGAGTTGACTTTGATATGTCTTGCACATGTTGTAAATGTTCAATCATTGTTGAGCTGAAGCTAAGTGGAGTTTGAGATATTGAATGTACATCCCGATGAAGATTATTGATAGACTTAAACATGGGACTACATTTTCGGAAGAACATTGGGTTTAATAACAGATTGAGGGTAAACTGCATTGAGTGGATGATTGAGGATAAAGGAGAAGTGAACTCACAGAAAGAAGATGTGTACTGTAGGAAGGGAGAGAGTGAAATTTCAAGGAGCTTTTGCAATAAGGGACTGGGAAAAGTTCAGGTATTAACTTTTGTTATTATAACCATTTGTGATGCGATGATATGAATTAACGACAGATAAAATTTCTCTGCTATTTTCTCTTTCTTTCAAATGTTACAGAGCAAGGCTTTAGCCAAGATGGATATTTTGGTGAATGAGACAGAGGAACTGGCAGAGAATATACTCAAGTGGAGAGAACAACAAAAGAAAGTTTCTTCTCAGATCCCCAAAATGTTAAGATGAAGAAAATTATGCTCATAAATATGACATAGTTATGAAGTCTGTTTCTGGTTGATTGTCACTTGGGTATATAGGCTTTGCTGCTACCAGTACTGAAAGAGCCCTGTTTTTATTGGAGTACCAAGATTCAGGATTCTATAGGACCAAACTTACTTTTCCTTTGTTTTTTATACATTCTTAATGTACTTTTCAGAAAGCTAATACAAATAAAATATAGCTGAATTGATTAACATAAATGAGTTAACCATTCCGCAGTTAGCAAATTATTTTATTATGTCCTTTTTTTTTTTAAGTCATCTTTCTAAATTGTCTTCTTCAGTCTGAAAGTGTCTATGGCAGTTATTCCTATGGAATTGTCATGATGTTCAGGAAAGAATAACATAGCAGGCTTATTCTTGCAAAGGCCTACTGACAAGGCTGGTCCTTGGCTGATCCTTCTGGGAGCTCAGCTCTCAGGAGGGCTCCCTCCACTCTCACTAACAGGAGTGGCTCAGTGTGACTCAGCTGTTTGTATAATGTGGCTTATTCTGAACACTTACTTTCCTTGTGGGAGTTGAGAATTTTGATACATGCCAGTTATAAGGATCCTTTGGGACTAGTCCCTAGTAAAATCCTGGGGCTGTATCTCCAACAAGTTTCCCTGGTAGGTAACATTTTACGCATGTGGTCACAGTTCAGTTGCTAAAGGTGTGTGGCATGTCTTGTGTGATTCCACTGGCAAAGGACTTCTGCCTGGTTTTCCTCAGACTTTGTCCCATGAACCTTTTCTCTTTCCCCTTTTGATTTATGTGTGTGTTGTGTTTGTGTGTTTGTGGTGCTAGATCAAACCCAGGACCTTGTGCGTGTGCATGTGAAGCACCTGCTTTACCACTGTGCTACAGCCCATCCCTTGCCTTGTGTGTTGTGCTGTAATAGACCACGGTTATGAGTATGGTGATGTGCTGAGGCCTGTGAATCCTCATAGCAAGCCATGTTCTTGTACTCCCTAATGCATTGTTCCATTTGTGAGGGTGTTCACTGGCAGCCTTAGGAGCAGGCAAAGAAGAAAAGGAGAGCAAGGAAAAGGAACAACACATTATAGTAAATTTGTTGCTGTTTATCTTGTTAAATGCTCAGATATTTCACCTGAATTATTGTTCATATGATCGTTCATAGAATACTGATCATGTACTAACAAAGATATATTGATTTGTATCACAGCTATAACCACTTCTGGCTTATTTTGTTTTCAGACCAAGGATTCAGTTTTGCTTTAAATTGTGTTTTTTACACTGTTGCATTTGCTGCATCACAGGGGTCCACTGAGCCTTTTTTATCACAATCCTTAGCAAGAAGACTTCACATAATAGATGAGTAAAATAGATACTCTTAAGGAAGCAAGATTATTGCCAAAGAAACACCCTGCTAAAACAACAAGAATTGGGCCGGGGATTTAGCTCAGTGGTTCCACCACCTGCCTTGAAAGTGCAAGGTCCCGAGTTTGATTCCCAGTACCAAAAAAATAAAAAAGAATTATGTTTTCAAGTCTATATCACTAACTTTTACAGATGGGATCTAGAAGAGCAGTAGTAATATCTTGAACGTTATGTAGACTTTAGCAAAGGCCCTAGTTGTATTTCATCATAAGCCGGTTCACACCCAGCTTTTTTCCTGATGTGATTTCCTGTATATATTAGTGTGTGTGTATGTATACACGGTATTATGTGTCATATCACCTACTATGTTGCAAATATTGACATGTCTGGTTTTGTATATGTCTTTCTCAAAATATCAAAACAAACATGTAATTTTTAACTAAAACCTCTTGGCCCTAGTGTGAATCCCAAGTCATAGAAAGGGAAGATGCTATTTAGTTTGTGCAAGTGTGGGCATTCAGGCTATCTAACTCCTAAAAGCTTGAGAAAAAAATTGATTTAATGCTATTCTAGGATTGATAAGTGGTGATGAATTTTTTAAATTCAAATTTTTTTTTTTTTTTTTTGACACAGTCTCACTGTGTGACTCAGGCTGGCCATGAACTCACAGTGATCCTCCTGCCTCAGCCTCCCAAGTGCTGGGATTACAGGTGTGAACCACCACATTCAGCTTAAATTCAACCTTTAAACATGTGGCTACCAAGAACAGTTAGCTCTGGGGGGTGGATTAAAAAAAGAAACAAACTGGGCCAGGGATTTGGCTCAGTGGTTTCACCACCTGCTGCGAAAGCACAAGGACCCAAGTTCAATCCCCGGTACCAAAAAAAAAGAAACAAACTATATTATGTACATCTGTCAAACTCCCCAAGAAGATTATAAAATGTATGTACTGTAAATATGTACTAATAAATTTTTTAGAAAAATAATTAGCTCTGGAATGCATTTTTTCCTTCACATTAGGAGAGGTATATGAAATTAGCAAATTTATTTTTAACACATAATGATGTCAATTTGTTAGGACTGTTCTGGAGGGATTAAGATGCTGCCTGTTTTTTCTTATTTTACTCCTTTCTTTGACCTGTGACTGCCAGGTTAACCCCTGATTTTATCTTCTTAAACCTTCAATCAAGTCAGGAAGATAGTCTGAGAAATTCGATAATATAAAATTTTTCTGGATTTGTAAGATCAGTAATAGAGATATTAGTGACCTTTATTATTGTATTGCAAGATTTTTCCAAATGTCTGTAAAACAATTTATATAAAAGATGCATTTCACAATTTGGGGAATCCGCTTTGATAATTGAGTTTACAAAAAAATTTAGTAGAATTAGAAATAAACAGATCATAGAGTCCTTTTAATTTGACATTTTTCTCTTTTCCCTTTCCCACATTACATTTTCTCTTCTCCTTTTTAAAGTCTTCTCATGAGTATTTGTAGGAAAAGATTATTGCATTATGATATGGTAAGCACGGAAGAGTCCTATGGTCAATCTATGATCCTTTTCTGAGAGTCTTAATTTTACAGACCTTTACTTGCTGTACAAGAATTTAGGGCTATAAAAATAAGTGTCAAATAACTGTGTAACTGGTAAAATGAAAAGCCATGCATTTTCTAAAAATTGATGTGAAATTGCATGTTCAAGGAAACTGTAGAATTGATTTTTCTGCCTGAGTACTTTTCCTTATCAAAAATCAGTGTACCTCAGATGACAACGTGGACTTAGTAATCATTAGATGCTAGTAAAATTTTCTCTAACATTTTCTTTTCCGAATTTTTGCTGTTCAGAAGGCATAAAAATTTACCTTGATAAATGAAAATGTTCTTGAAAAACCCTGCTGGACAGGAAAGCTTTCTGCGGGCTGTGGAAAGACAGATGGGAACCTCTCTGAACTAAATTGCCTTTGTAAGCTGAATTGCCCTTTGTCCCCCACCTCACCGTGGTCTCACACTGCTTTCTCCCTCTGCGTTCTCCATCTAGATCCCAAAATTTAGGAGACTCAGACAGGGCCTGTCTTCAGCTTCTCCTTTATGGAGATTTATAGCAAAGGCTTTAGAATTACACTTGGGTTTGAATCTTGGTTCCACCACTTACCAGCTAAAGGGTCCTTCTAATTTATTTAATATCAGCCTCAACTTCCTTATCTCTTAAATGGAAATGATAAAAGTATGAATTTCATGGATTCTTTGGAAGATTAATAAAATATATAATAATCAAGTCCAAGGGCCAGGGATTTAGCTCAGTGATTCCGCCACCTGCCTCGCAAGTGTAAGGTCCTGAGTTTGATCCCAGGTACCAAAAAAAACACACAAAAAAATCAAGTTCTAGTTTGTAATAAGTCAGTATAACCAAAGATGACTTTGATAACTTCTGATTTCTTGTCCTAAGCTGTTCCTTTTATTCTTTCAAGCACCATATTCTTAATAATAATAATGAATTGAATATAATACAACTTAATTAAGACTTTTGAATCTCTTGAATTTTTACTATACAGAGCACGTTAAGGTCATTCTAAGGAAAAAAGACTAGCTTGGTTAAACACAATCAGTGAAACTTCATTTACAAAAGGACTCTGGGGCTGAGATTGTATAGTAGCTAAGAAATAGAGTACTTGTCTAACCCCTAATAACTGCCACCCCCAGCATGCCAAAGCAACACCAGTAACAGTCCTGAACTACCGTCTCTTACCCATAAAGCTGACAGAAACACTTTACTTTGTTTAGTAGACGGTGGAGACACAGACATGCTTAGCACTGGTGGTAAGAATGCATAAGCATTTCTTAATTCAGCAATTACAATTCTGGGAATCTATTGCAAAGATATACAGGTACAAATAAGCAAAGATGAGTACACAAAACTATTCATAGGATATTTATGATAACAGAAGACTAAAGACAAATGTCCTGTCAATAAGAGACTGATTTATATAAACTATGGATATCCAATATGGAGAGTACTATACAGTTGTAAGAATGTCCTTATTTCCAGTTTTGGTTTCTCACACCAGAGAAACAATGAAGTATTTAATACAGTTGTAAGAATGAATAAGGAGGACCGGGGATTTAGCTCAGTGGTTCCACCACCTGCCTCGCAAGTGCAAGATCCCAAGTTCGATCCCCGGTACACCCCCCCCCAAAATGAGTAAGGAGTATTTCTATATGTGTAATACACTATGCAGTACAGAATGATAAATGGTTTTTTTGGGGGGGGTACTGGGATTGAACTCAGGACCTTGCGCGTTTGAGGCAGGCGCCAGAACCACTGAGCTAAACCCCAGGCCCGATAAATGTTATATAGAATATATTTCTATATACCGACCTGTGGTGGTCTCCAGAATCTACTGTAAAGTTAAGGCAAAAATGTTACTAATGTAAGAAAGGGGGGAGGGACTTTTTTTTTGTTTTGGAACTGGGGATCGAACTCAGGACCTTGTGCTTGCAAGGCAGGCACAGTGCCGCTGAGCTAAATCCCTGGCCCAAAATGGGAGAGGGATTTGAGAGTGTGTGTGTATATTTGTGCAACAAACTAAGAAATATGTGTCTTACTCATTGCTGGCACAAAATACCCAACACCTCCAAGTTAAAGGAAGAAAAGTTTATTTTAGCTCACAGTCATAGAGGTTTCTGTCCATAGCCAGCTGGCAGAGGGCCATGGCAGAGGAGACAGTTCATGGTATCGCAGGCAGGAGGCAGCCTGCAGTGAGCCTTCCTTTCCCTTTTATCTCATCCAGGCCACAAGCCTATTGGTTAGTGTCACCCACCGGGGTGGCCTTTCCATTATCCACCTCTGGAACTAAGCCATCAGTGGACTAATTTAGTTATCACACACACATCCTTAATCCATTTTCACACATTCTAGATCCAGCCACCTCCGAAAAGCCCCACCTATGAGGACCTGAAGCTTTGGGAGGACATCTGGATATAATTCATAACAGCATAATATCTGTCTCAGTGATGAGAAAGTGACTAAGACAGATTCCAGTACCAGAAAAATGGAGTTGCTGTGATGGTTCCTGACCATATGGTTCAGAAGCCTTTGGAAGTGGCTTGTAGGAAGAGTTTGGAAAGGTTTGGAGATGCCATCTGGAGAAGCAGGCCTAGCATGCTGTAAGCTGAGCTTGATGGGAGATTCTAGTCAGAGCTCTGAAGACTAAAATACTGATAAAAAGACAGACAGGAAAGGCCAGGCTCAGGAGGTTTCTGTTCGTCAAGGACTCCATTAGCTGTTGGATTCAAGGCCATGTATGTTAGGTTCAGGAGGAGCACCCTGCACAAAGAGGTATCTAGAAGAGAAGACAGAGAATGGGAAAAATAAAGAGCAGAAACAAATAAATCCCAATAAAGAGAAAGGGAAGGAGAAAGGGAGCCTCTCTGACACAGATGCAAAAGTGAAATCGAATTCATTTGCTTTTGAGATTGATAGTGAGATGCCCGTCAGGGTCAGTCACTGTCTTAGATACTTTTCTCATTTCTGAGACAAAATGCTCAACACCCACAAGTTAAAGGAGGAAAGGTTTATTTGGCTCACAGTTTGTAGAGGTTTCAGTCCATAGTTGGCTGGCCTCAAGGCAGGGTGGCTTTGCAGAGGGGCATCACAGAGCAGAAGACAAGAGCAGCAGCAGCAATAAGCAAAAAGCAACAAGCCACAGCAGCCCTTTCTGCCCTTTATATTCTTATATGGGGTACTTGCCTTTCAGGCGGGTAGCATCCACACCCTTAATCCTAGCATTGCATCATGAATCAATCCCAGCATCACTTCCACAATCCCAGCATTACACATCCTAGGTCCAGCCACCTCCAAAAAGCCCCACATATGATCATATGAGGCTTTGGGGGGACGTCCAGACACAAGCCATAACAGTCACCCAAAAGATACAAGCTCTGTGATGACTTTGAGAAGAAGATAGCAGACTTCCACAGGGAGGAGATGGATGATCAAGATAAGGACAAAACTAAGGGAAGGGAGTAATCTGAGTTTGATGATTAACCCAAATTTATGCCTAAAGTCATAGCCTATTCAAGCAGAAACCAGGAAGAAGAGAAGTTGGGGAAGTGGGCGGACCTGGTGTATGCAGGGAAGAAAAGTAGAGGAAAGCAGAAGAGCTGGTGGAGGAGCTTTCACAGAGGGATCCAAAAGGAAAATCTGAGCAGGGCCTGAGAGGCACCAGGAGTTTGTGCCTGAGAAGAATTTCTGAGTGACTACTTACAAGGCGATCCAAGAGAAAAGCTCATTGCTTCCCCTCAGGAAGACTTCTCAGAGTCAAAGGAGACTTTTCCTCAGGGAAATCTTCATTTTCCATTACTCAAGAGGCCCAGGGCTGGGGATTTAGCTCAATGGTGCCGCTGCGTGCCTCATAAGCACAAGGTCCTGAGTTCGATCCCCAGTACCAAAAAAAAAAAAAGAGGCCCAGATTGATGTCTGGATGGACTCATTTGACAAGCACCTCTCATGACCCAGTGGCTTATTGGCTTAGGAACATTAGCACCTTTGGGCTCCAGTCCATAGCAACAAAAGGGAATTGGAGTTTCGTTTCAATTTCCAGCACATACAGTTGGGTCAGCTTCAGTGTAGCACCTCAGAATTGATTGTCCAGCACAGAGTGACCATTGTTCACCTTGTTAAAAAGCATCACTTTGGGTCCTCTGCAAAGATGTTGCATGAACACTTTACTAAATACTTAAAGGGAGGAGCTGAACAGGAGGCAGGTAAAACAAGACAATTCCAGAGATACACAGGAGGATAAACATTTCCCCCAGTACATTCAGAAAACATGATTTGGCTCATGACAAAATGAAAAGTCCTCAGGAAGCTGGCTACAAGCCTGAGGGAAAATACAAAGATGATCCTGTTGATCTCCACCTTGATATTGAATGTTATAAAAAACATAAGGAGAGAGAGTTTTTTTTCTTAAATTCTTTTGTTGGTAC